GGGGGGGATGAGACACGGTGAGGTGCCTGGTACCGCGCTGCCAGGAGCTTCTTCCTTGCTGTGTTACCCCACGGGGGTACTGAATCGGTACTAAGTGCAACTTTTTGGCCTCCTTTTTTTTTTTTTTTTTTTTTTTTAAATGGTTAGTCCTGATACTTCTTGGCGGTTTTACGGTTTACTGTTGAAAGAGACGTTGGTAACGGATTAGGTGTCCTGTAGTCATGTCAGAATCAGACCCAGAGAAGCCTCAGACCCCCATTCCTCAAAGCACAGCTGGTGTTCCTGATCCTGCTCCGGTTGCTGTCGGGCCTGGAGGCTCAAGGGACGTCGCCGTTGGTGAGCAAAACCTTAACTTCACCACCACAGACGTCAGCCTGGTGGAGATGATGGAAATCGAGTACACCCAGCTGCAGCACATCCTTTACTCGCACGTGGAGGCCCAGGCTAGTGGAGTTGAAGTGGAAGCGAGGCTCAATTCTTATTCCTCGCCTGGTAATTCTGCAGACCCCGCTCTGCGCCAGACCTCACTGAACACCGGTCAGGAGGGGTGTTTATCCAACAGCTCTGGGAACCAGCTGTTTTACCCACCTGTGTGTCAGGCAGGCTTGCCTTCTGACAGCAATTTGCGGAGTTCAAACCCACGTTTGGGCTGCACTGACTTTCAGGAGCTCAGAATGATGTTGCTCAGCGAGGCTAACCTCCCTTTGAACCAAACAGATAAAATGCCCAACAGTGGCTCTGTAGAAGTCCCGGGACACAGTTTAGTCAAAGTTAAACATGATGAAAATTTTGTTGAGATGAATAAAGAAAACACACTTGTTGAAAATTCGGCACTGGCACCAGAGCCGAGATCTAAATCTACAGTCAGAGTTCGGTTGGAAGACAGATTCAACAGCATCCAGACAGAAACCCCCAGATGTCAAGAACCCCAAGAATCTGGAGTAACCCTTAACAAGTGTGTTGCAATTAATTTTGGTTTATGTTGTTAAACTATGTGTCGTCATATAGTTCAAAAGCGATTTTTTAAAATGAAACCTAAGAACAGTACTTTTTTAATACATGAGAAAAGTGGGCTGGGCTTTTTTTTTTTACACTGTGCCAGTCAAACGTGGCTGCAGCTCCACTGACCTCAGGTGAGACCGCTCTGTATGTTGCAGGAATGGTACAGCATGTGGTTCCAAAACCAATTACTTCACAACTTTATTCTTGAAAACAAGATGTAATGTAGATAAAGGTGAGAGAAGAACGTTATCTAGTTTTAACATGCAGCTTGCTAAAAGTAAAGTAGATTTTTGATCATAATATTAAGAGCAATTTTGATTAGTGTTATAATGCAGAGGCCTGACTATAGGGAAAACTGAGCAAAAATACCATTTTACAGTCTGGCTTTGTGACTGCGTTAGAGTGCGGGTAAGATGCTTTATTGAGGCGTAAAGCTGAATTGTTGCTGCACAGAATAAAACACCTTCTCAGCTGGTATTTTTTTCTTCTTTTTGTCCCTGAAGTAGGCAGTATGGCAATAACAATGATTTGTGCTTACAGTAAATGAAAGGGGTTTCTTGGTGGTAGTTACTAGAAGTGTGTGTAGCCGTAAATTTTTCCGCTCTCATTTTCAAGTAGTCAGTCTGGTGTATTTTCTGTGTTGTTTGTTTGTTTTGGTTTTTTTTAAAGTTTAGTAACGTTGATTCACCAGCCGTCAGAACTGGTAGGTGCTCCTCTTCATCAGCAAGAGGACAAGTGTGCTGTGCTGGGGAAAACCAAGCCTGCGCCCGCCGCGCCTGCTCTGCAGTTCACGTACCCGTTGTTCACGGTGAACGCGTGTTCCGCTGCTGGGAGCGCGAATCCTTCCCAAGCACAGGTAGATCGTGCGTTCCCCTCTGGTTGGACTCTGCTAATTTCAAATGCTAACGACGTTACCTCTGAGGCGTGGTGTAATCCCAAAGGTTTGTGTTAAAGCGTGACGTCAAGGGGGATGATCAGAGCGAGCTGTAACGCGGTTTGTTTATTCTTACGTTTGTCTTTAAGACCGTCAAAAATACTCAAAGCACTCGTGTGGCCTTTGTATTAACGTGCATCCAGGTGATGATCAGCAGGCCGTTCGATTTCTTGCTAGAAAGATTTTTTTTTCCCTGAGTTTATCAGCGCATCATCAGCTTCATCAATGCAAGACAAGGAGGAGACACTTGGTACCCTTGTTTGTGGTTCCTTTATTTCAAATTCATTTTGATGAAAAAGGTTCCCCCCCCCCAACTCGCAGTAACCTCCAAAGCAAGAGTGGTCGGTTTGGTCACCCGATGCCCCCCACCTGCTCGCAGAGGGGAACTGGGAAAAGGAAAGGAGGCCTGTGGGTTGAAATGGAAACAGATTTAATAAAATAATAATTAACCCCCCTAATATTAATACTAATATAAAGCAGACAAAGTTATGCTCAGCCCGTATAGTGGTCACGAGCTGCACGCTCCCAGCAGTAGGTGCTGGGTGCCAAGCTCTGCGAGCACCACGGCTCCGGCGAGAGCGCGAGGGTCACAACGGAGGGGAGAGTAGGCCTGGGGAGCGGCAGGCGAGACCCTCAAGGGATGGGGACCATTGAGGAAGAGGGTCTATCCCCCCCCTCCCCAAACTCTCCAATGTACAGCGAGTGTGACCTTTGTGGTGTGCAATACTTCTGTTGGGCAGCTTGGGGCAGCTGCCCTGGCTTTAGCACCTGCCTAACTTGGAGCTGCTGAAGACCTTGATCTTAGGGAGACCGGTGTGCCAGGCTGGCCACCAGCTAAGCCAGGTCTTACCAGCTTTGTTCTCACCGAATCAAGTGCTGCAGTTTTCTCAAAAATGGAGCTTTCCTAAATAGAAAATTGATTCTATGGTTCCATCCCAGTGAAACCAGGACAGAGTGATAGCGCGGCACTGGAAGTGTCAGAGGTATCCCAAAAAGATTCATTGGTCTGTCCAAGTCCCATGGTTGTGTGGAGAAGTAATTGGGATTTATTCTGATACAACACATCGAATCACAGGGCTAGAACTTGAGTAATTAACATGAAGATATCAAAATAATCTCTTTTTACATACATAGTCCTCTAAGTATTTCCTTTTTGGTTTTCACAGACCTCTGGAATGTCTTGCGCTATTTTGGAAGCTGCCAAACATCAAGACCTTGGGATACCCAAGACGTTGTCGTTCTGCTGTCAGGAATCCACAAAACAGACAGTAGGTGCTATGGATAAAGCTTTGCCTGAGGAAGTTTGGATTAAAGTTGGAGGTAAACCATTTATCTTCTTTTCACCTAGCTTTCTCTTGGCCTTCAAATCGACATTTTTTTTTTTTTAATTTGTGTGTTTTCTAGAACAAATATGATTTTAGTGAATCGTGTGAGGTGTGGGGTTCATGTCTGAGATGCGCTCTAGGCAGTATGGGACTAGATTTCTCCAACACCTTTGACTTGAGCTATACTTTCAAAATTGTTTAGCACTTCTCGGTTGAAATGAGAAAACCCGGCGTTGCAAAGTACCTTTGAAAAATCTGTCCTCGGGTAAGTGTTTCTACACTTTTTGACCCCAAAGTTGGTGTGGCAGATCCAGTCACTGTCAAACTGAAGAACATTTAAAGGACTGCCTCAAACGCTCATCGAAGGCAGGTGTGATCTCAGTGGGTTCTCTCAGGGAGTAGAAGCTAAGTGGGTTTTGAAACAGCAAGCACTGTCTTAAGGCTTCCGTAGGACGTGTGTTGCTGTAAAGGTTGATCTAGGTTGGCCATAAAGCTTCAAAGATTATTCCACGTAAAATAGCAACAACAAAAAAATCTCCATGATTGGTATTTTTTCAGTGATGAGTGGGAGGGTTATAAACAGGTTCTTTTCCTCTTTGTTTTTCCAAGAAGACACCGTATGCAAGCAAGTGATAAACAGAAGAAGTTGCAGCCAAATAAGCCCAAACATCGATCGCAAACCTCTTGGTGAAATTCACAACCTGCGTGACGACAGGCAGAGCGCTGCGCCTGCCCAGGCTCTGTGGAAGGTGGCACAGTCGAATTTGAGCATGCCGATGCAGAGCAGCACACAGGATGGGACCTTGCAGCGAAGAGAAAGGCATAACCGCCTGGAGAGAGACAGAAGGTGATTTCCGAGTGGCGATATGAAGTTCTTGAAGCCTAAAATACTGTCGTACTCCCGTCGTTATTCAGAGTAAAATGTAAATTTGACATACTTGGCTTTACCGACAAGAAAAAGCAGTGCTGGTGGTGAGGGTTTGGTGTTTGTTAGAGGAAAAAAAGATGTGTGTGTTTCCTTGTGGTCATCTTTGCTCGTTTTTTGCTCTGTAAACAAACAGAAAGAGTTCAAAACGTTTAACTAATTGTATAAAGATCAGGTGATTTGCATAGAACATGACTAATATCCAAATACAAAGTTTGTGGCAAACCAGAAGAAGTCCCCGAAGTCCATGGCTTGGAGCGCACGTGAGTAGCCTTCCTTTTCTTACCTTTTTCCTTCCTTCCCGCCCGTGGGGCTGACAACCTGTCGCGTTTGCCTGCAGGCGCAGAATCCGGCTGAGCTGTGACGAGCTGAATCTTCTGGTGCCGTTCTGCACTGTCGATACGGACAAGGCAACGACTCTGCAGTGGACGGCTGCGTTTCTGAAGTACATTCAGGAAAGGCACGGTGATTCTCTGAAACAGGTTTTACATCTAATTTCATTTTTGTTCTGGATAAAAATGTGAAATGGTTTCAAGCCGTTCCTACCATGGCGAGAAGCGTATGGAATGCTTCTGCTTGGTTCTGGTTGGGAAGGACCCCTGTATCATTGAACATTCCTTTAATTTTTGTTTGGTTTATAGCCGTTCATTTCAGTGGTGTGAAGTCACGGGCTGTCCTCAGTCAGGGTTTTCAAATCAGATTCTAAAATCTACTTATTTTTTTTAAGTTAACCCAGTTCCTGAGTATGACGCTATCTGGACAGCAACGTAGAGCTGAGATCCTCTTCAGTCATTCCTTCCCCGCCCCTTAATTTTATCTATTTCCCACCTGTTTCACACAGTTGCCTTCTAGTTAGCTTTCATGAACTAGTACTAGTTAAGTGGTGGGATTCACAGCTACCTGCCCACACTGCCACAGCGTGGGTGAGAGTAGTAAAGGGCTGTGTGCCCTGTAAGCAGCTCCCACGCTGCCACAGCGGTAGTTGCAGCCCCAGAGTATTTCTGGCTCCGCTGAGGATCTGACGAGAGCGGGTGGAGCCTGTGTAGGAAAACCTGCTTGCCTCGATACTGGTACGGCCCCTCAGCGCTGCTGGTTTTTTGTCTTCAAGACACTAGTGAAACAAAACCCATGCATTGCAAATCATATCTATCTACATTAAGCATAATCGTTATTTATTTCTTTGTATTTTGATTTTTAGGAATTTGAGACTGTGTTCTGTGGTAAAACAGGCAGGAGACTAAAAATAGCAAGATCAGACTCGTTTGTAACGGGCCCAGTGCAGGAAAACACGCGTGACTATGGAGACCAAGTAGTCTGAACTGAACGGCCTTGAACTGTGTGACGAGCGTGGCTGGCAATGGCCTGAGCTGTATTTTATTTTCTGCATTTACATGCTGAACATGAATTGCAAAACTTGTAAAAATATATGGACAGACCTTTAAAGAAAAAGTTCTTTATTCGAAGCGGAAATTAAAATTAACTACCAGCAATAGGTATCAGTGCTCTCTTAAAGGGGCTGTGGGACCAGAAGCTACAAGAAAATGTCATGACAGCGAAGTATTTTTCCCCTTTAGTTGTAAAAAATTTGTTCTTTTTCTGCTTGTTCCGCTTTTTTTGTTGTGGTTTTGTTTTCTTTTCTTTTTTAAAGATGATCCAGTACGGTTAGGAATAGTTGTAGAACATGAATCTGTTCTTTTAATGACTGGATGCAAATGTACTCTTCAAGTGTAAAAAGAAATTAAAGTTACCATGTTATAATGCCCATTTTCTCCACTAAAAATTTGAAGGTTGTATTAATTAATTGGTAAGTGCGTAGTTCCTGAATGGTAAGTTCACATTTACCATATGTACTTTGACATAGTTGGCCCCAAAGAGTAATACAGTGGCGTTAGCATTTTTTTAAATAGTGTGCTGGTTTTAAGATCTATCACACAACTGTCCAGCAGGTTCTTGTATTGTTGTCTTAGTCCAAGCGTGGCATATTGTAACCAGTAGATTATTTACATGCACAAACTATTTTCATATTTAAAGCTAAATACGACTCCTTTGTTCATAGGCTTTAGCATATAGGGCAGAAATAGAATAGTGTGTGAGCTCAGAGTGCTTTAATTTTTTTTAAATAGATGGTGCTAGCAGGTTTCAAAGTGCAGAAAGGTCCCCCCAAATAAATACTGGTTTAAATCACGGATATGGACAATTTCACAGCAGTTTATTTCCAAACAATTCTAGTAAAACTAATTCTGGAAAATGGAGTTCAGCCGAGTTAACGTGATGGGTGTAATGACACTTACAACAACATCACAAAGAAAAGGTTAAAAAAAAAATCTCCTTTTATTTTTACAACAGTTCATACAGGTGGTTTTGGCTGGAGCATCCTTTCTGTGGGGTTTCATTCACAATTACTGTGCAAATAGCTTAAGCGGAGGTCGTGAGAATGCTGGTGCTTGATTTCCTTTATTATCATATGGAAATAGACAACAATGCTCCCCTGCAAATTAAAATATATAATTACACCTTTTGCAGACTGCGAGTGCAAGATACGATCTGAAAATTGCTGACTGGCAGCACATACACGAACTGGGGTTGTTACTTAGGCCAGAAGCTTAAGATGTTAAAATAGGGGATATTTAAATGCCTCGTTTCCACTGATGGCAGTAGCGGTTTGGTGCCCGAATACCTTAACAGCCTGCGCTACTGGAGTCAGTGGGAGCAGCACCAGGAATTCAACTGACAAGGCTCAAAGGAGTGTACGGAAAAGTCATGACCTTTAGTGCACGGTGAGGGGGGGTGATGGTAAAAAGGAACAATATTTCCTCTTGCAGGTCTCTTGAACAAAGGGAGGAAGGGAAGGTGAGGTTGTTTAGCGGTAAAAATTCTGGAAAATAATCGCGGGGAGGAGAAAATACTCATAAAGCATCTTTTAGGTAAAAAGTTTTCATCTGATGCTTTGATAGAACTGTCTCAAAGTCTCCACTTAATAGAAGAGAAGGAAATCTGTCCATTTATCACTAGGAGGATTCTGTCTGTTTTCTTACAATGCACTGTTTCTTTAAATATTCAGTCACTTCTCCACTTCTTGTACTGTTGTTTTATGATTTTTTGGAAATTGATGCTCCAACAGCTCCCATGCAGGCCGACGTGTCGCATATTCCTGGAGTTCCCTGAGCCCCGATAGCACCAGGAATACCAGGATCCCCTGGAAGACCGGGTTCACCCTGAGCACCATCACGACCATTTTTAGTAATTCCAGGTACACCAGGTGGTCCTAAACAAGAAGGGGAAAAAGATTACATGAATTATTCCCTTCCCTCTTTTTTTTTTAATATGTGTATATATGCATGTGTTACTTTTGGAGTTCTTAAAATACTTTGAGTGTCTGTACATGGGACTTGTTACGGCCTGTTGAGTACGAGGTGTTAAATAAATTTAGCCTGAATCTGGAGTATGTGTGTTGGATTCTTTAGAGTACCTTGGGATTTACCGGAATGGCCTCGGTGTAGCTGACCAGAATTATCTTACATCATCCCTGAATCGTTTGCTCAATAGGGGAGCTCACAGCTTGCTTATTGTGACAACAGCAGTGCCCACAACTGTCCCTCCTCCCTGGCCACCAGCCTGCTCCTTCCTAGGAGACTGCGGCCTTCAGCTGCTTCAGTTCTTTGCAGGGCCTGAAGTCTTGTTGTAATTAAGATTCTGAGTAAGGGAAGGATGATACAGAACATCTCCCTGACCTTACACAGGAGGAGTCTCCTTTATACCTGTGTCTAATGTCAAAAATTTGCTCCCGATGAAATACATAGTTCATTTATTGGTGCTATTATTCTTTCTTTTTTCCTTCAGATGCCAAAAATAACCCTAATTTCCCTAACAGCAAGCTGCTGAAGCTTTCTAAAACAGTGTATGGCACGAGTCTGTCCGCCTGAGGACAGCTGCATCAGGCACTCCTGCAGTTCTGTCTTCATTATGACAGAGAGATGGTGCTCGATTCTTTTTATTCATGTTAGTGACAAATTGCATCTACTGGTGATCTCCTTAGGTTTCACGAGTAGGACAAATGCTCTCAATATCTAAGATGTGAAACAGCCTCTTTTTACATGCCTTGGAGAAGAAATTTATGGATTAATGTCATTATTTTATGGAAGAATCTAAGACAACGGGGTATAAATATTCGGGGTTTATGCGGTATTATGGATGCAGAGCCTGCTTTTGGTGCCTGTAGCTTATTCATTGTACAGATACAATCACAGTCAGAAAAGCTGCTTTAACAGGTGAGCAAAATAAAGAATATTCTTCCAAGTTTCTAATAAACAGTCATTAATGCATAAATTAATCTTTGAATCTTTTCATAAAGGATTCATGACTTCAGGAACTGGGATTCCAGCCAGGTGCAGAGCAGTAACACCACTCTCTCTCAGAATCCTTACACTAGGAAGTTATATTTGTTTCTGGTAACATTAAATTTCTCTTGTTTGATCCAGAAAAGCGAGCTGAATTTTGGAGGACTGTAGCTGGTAGCGTTAAGATCCTTTTGCCTACAGCTGGAGCCAGAGCCTCCCAGGTGTTCCACACCTTTAAATGAACTGGTACTAGTTAATTGTTAATTAACTAGTTCGTTACTGCATATGAAGTACCACTGAAAAGAGTAACCTGGTGACACTGGCAACCGCATGGGAGTGCTTAAGAAGGGTTCTGACTTCCCCATCTAGAAAAGGTCCCGGCCTTTCACCGCCATGAGGGGAAGAAACCAAGGACAAATGAAGAGCGGGGCTGTCCCAGCGGCCTCTTCTCAAAAACATTCTCCAAAACATGTAGGCCTAGCCTGGAGGGGTGTGAAGAGGGGCTGTGCTCAAGTTCTGCTGTTCAAAGGGCCTGCACCTGCCTACCTGCAGGAACCCCACCCTGCTACAGCGATCACAATGTACTGCCACGATACGCAGAGCTGTCCCTCCTAAACCTTTACTTCAGTCGTGGTTTATCAAGTTATTTGCACAGCCTTACCTTGAAGTCCTTGATCGCCGTCAGGCCCGTCAATACCTTGACCAACAGGTCCTTTATCTCCCTTTTCGCCAGTGTCACCTTTAAGCATAAACAGACAATTTCAGCAGAGAGTTGGGCGCTGCAGCTGGATCCAAGGACAGGAAGAGGAAAGACCAAGAGAAGCTCAAAACCCTCAGGCCCTCGCTAGGCTCTTTGCTTACACGGCACCCCTAAAGATGCGAAACCGCCCTCTCGACCTCCATCTGCTGCCCAAGGCCTGATCTTTTCTCCTCCGCTGCTGAAATCGGTACGAGTTTGCAGTTTATTTCAGCGGGTATAAAAGAGAAGCGAGTTGGTTGAGTCTGTCTTACCTCTGGGACCAGGATCACCAAGTTCTCCTGTCGGCCCTCTGTATCCAGGGGGGCCACGAGGACCGGGATGCCCAACGCTTCCCGTAGCTCCAGGAGGACCCGGGGGACCAGCTGGGCCAGGACGACCCGTCATTCCGGGAGACAAGGGCTTCCTCAGATTAGCAGCTAACTGGGCAATTTGATCTGAAAAGAACAAATCCAAGACACCGTGGCCAACCTTTTCGCTCCTGGCTGTGCCTTGTCAGCCGCCAAGCGTGCTTCATTGAGCGAGCAGCTGAAACGAGTCTGATGGTAAAGCAGAGCTGCGTGCTTGGGCAGACCTTGCTCCCTGCCGCTCCTACACGCTCACTGCTTGTGGCAGAAGGAAACATGGAATCTGTCCTCTCAGCTCATCTGTGCTGGCTTTTTGTTTTTTTTCAATTTTTTTTGTATCACCACAGAGATTTTGGTCAGAAATCTGCAGGTTTTTCAGCCATTGATATTTCCTGTTTCCCAAACCGCTTTGAAAGATGTCAAATATTCTAAAAAAATGATACTTAAACAATCAAAACAAGCTTTCAGAGTTTAACCTCATCCCAAATGGCGAACGTAACCCCTGAACGCAGAACAGTAACTTCAAAGAAAGAAGAAAACTCCCGGGGAGCTGGCCCCTGCCCCGGGGAGCCGGGCTGGGCTGCGGAGGGGAGCGGAGGTTCAGAACGACACGGGTGAGGACAGACACTCTCACCAGCCAGTGCTTGCCAGCGTGGGTGCGTGCTTTCAGCACCCTTTGTAGGTTGCCGTGAGGAATCATTTAAAAATACTAATTTTAGAAAAATGAAAGACAGCTCAGACAACAAGGTGACCTCCTGAATAATCTCCTTACATTAAAGGTCAACGTATTTTTTCTTATTAAGACAGAAAAATAACAAATGTCAGGAGCCATCTTATGTTCAGGATCTACTCATCTTCAGCTAAATATAGTA